TGCTTTGCCGCATGAACACGGTATGCCAGGAACTCCTGCAGCTGGGAGTGGGTCCTTCTTCTCCTTTGCCGATCTGATGGTTTGTTGGATTTTCTTCGTAGGCTGGAAGATTGTTTTAATGTCATGCCTCTTCAGGACTCTGCCAATCCTGTCCGTGACTCTTGGCACAAATGAGAGTTACGCTTGACAGGTGGCGGGACGCTGTTCGGTGTCACGTGGCCTGGCTGATCTCGAGCTCATTGATCTTTCGATGTCCCTCTTGCTGTAGCCATTTGCTTCGAGCGCAGTTTTCAGGTGTTCAAGTTCTGTCTGGAGGTTCTCCGGATCGCAAATCTTTCGAGCTCGTTCTGTCTCCATACTTCCGACTTGGGTGATGATTGGACAAAGCGTGCAGGTAAATATCTGTCGATGTGCGTTGGTTTCCTGTACACTGTGTGACTCAGCTTGTTACCTCGCTTCCTGACTAGTACGTCCAAGAAGGCCAGTTGTTGGTCACTCTCTATCTCTATGGTAAATTGTATCCTTGGATACCGATCGTTGAGGTGCTGCAGAAACTCGTTTAGCCTGTCCGTTCCATGTTTCCAAATCACGACGGTGTCGTCCACGTACCGGAAGCAAATTGCTGCTTTGTTCTCCGATGTCTCAACCGCCTTCTTCTCAAAGGTTGGCAATGACTGGGCTAAGTGGACTTCCCATTGCCACTCCGTTTGTCTGCTCATAAAAGCCCCCGTCCCATACGAAGTAGCATCCAGTGAGAAAGATTTCAAAGAGCTTGCAGATGTCAGAAGGGAAGATCCTGCTCACCAGATCGAGGCGTTCCCTCAGCGGTACCTTGGTGAAAAGGGAGACGACATCGAAGCTCACAAGGATGTCGTCGGGTTCAACTACGATGTCCTGAATCTTTCGCACAAAGTCGGTGGAATCCTTGATGTAGCTGGTACTCTTTCCCACGTATGGTTGCAGCAGGGATGCCAAGTGTTTCGCTAAGTAGTACGTCGGCGATCCGGGAGCACTGACTATTTGTCTCAACGGATCTTGGGTAGGCCGTAGAGCCTTGGTGGAACCGTTTCCGTCCTCGTAACGCTCTTCTTGGTGTCTTCTGGCAGTGATGATAGCTTGATGAGCCGGTTGGTAAGGCGTAGTCGGGCTTGCGTTGGATCCTTCTTCAGGGGTTTGTAACTTTCTGGGTCTAGAAGCTCAATAATCTTCCTTTTGTAGTCCTCGGTCTTCAGAAGAACCGTTGCATTGCCTTTGTCGGATGATATCCTCGTCGTTATTCAAGTTCCGTAGTGCCAGTCCTTCACTCCTCGTCAGGTTGCTTTTTGGTGGTTTCGCCCCTCTAAGAATGCTGGCTGTCTCCATTCCTCGGCGGCCTCATCCGGTAGATGTCTAATGGCTGCCTCCGTACCACGTCCTTTAGACCCCAATCAACTGGCCCCGAAAGCCTTAACCAATCTCTCAATCGAAAGTATTGGCAGAAACGAAAAAACTCTTCATTTAAGATTCTTAGGTATTCATGCGACCTACAAAATGAAACCACGCGTAAAAAGCTCCGACTAATAAATATAAACTACTTGGTCTCTGGTATAATAAAACCTCTCTAAGCTTATCATCTATGGGTGTAGCGTTTTTGTAGCACAAAACACAACGGACTGAGGGTACGATAACGTCAATGCGGTATTAAGCGGTGGTTTGTCGCGGATGGAATTAGCAGGGTTAAATTGTCAAATAATTTTGCACTTTACAGAGCTCGCTCCCGGCGATTGAACGCCTGGCGAATAAAAAACTGCCACCGTTTCGATAAAAGTATGAAATATTGCCTGGAAAAAAATAGATAAATGGGAAATGAGAAGAGCACCAGAGGCCATCGCTATCGTTATTTATTACTTTTTGGCAGACGACCTAATCGGCATTTTTAAATACATGGTATGCATCTTACGTTTTGTGTATACTAGAATCCGCTATACAATACGTACAAGAAGTTCCGTCGCTCAAACCACGGCAGTCAGAGAAAAACTATGATGTTTTAACCGTTACAATATATATATAGGTGAAAAATTAAAGCTTCCGCCTTTTGTTGGGTACTTCGACAACATTTAAGCAAGGAGGACTCTTTATACTTTTTTATTCTCTCTAGCTTTCAATGGTCTTTGCCATCATCATCAGGAGCTGCAATTACATGGATAACAATAGCAACAATAGTGTAAAATGAATTTAAATTAACTTACAGTAGTATGTGAGGACGTTGCTAATTATTGTTTACGTTAAGGATTAGGGAAACACCCAGTAACATGGTGAAAGCAGGATAAATGGTACAATTGTCAAAATTATATGTATATAAAGAGAAAATGATCATGCGGCGAAAGGTATATAACAAAAAGTAGGAAAATATAAGTAATGGGCAAAATCCGCAAAAAGGAGGAAAATGTATTCGAGCAGAAAATAGGATTGGTAACCCGAGCGATACGTATTTCTGCTGGTTGGCTTCATCAGGCCCGAAATGAGTGCACATATGAAACTACCAAAGTAGATACACATGCCCATACATCCGGATACGAGTGTAACCTGAGAAAACGAAGATGGAGAGGGAAAAAAACTACACACGAAGTCCACAGCAAGTGGCTATAACCGGCCGCGTGGTTGTGGTTAGATGTCTCCTTGTAAATTCGAGGTCTTCTAGCCGTTTTGTACTACAATGTGTAGGTTGGCTCTTGTTGTGGACTTCGTGTATCGTTTTTTTCCCCTCTCCATCTCCGTTTCCTCAGGTTACACCCGTATCAGGATGTGTGGGCATGTGTATCTACTTTGGTAGTTTCATATGTGCATTCATTTCGGGCCTGATGGAGCCAACCAGCAGAAATACGTATCGCTCGGGTTACCTATCCTATTTTCTGCTCGAATACACTTTCCTCCTTTTTGCGGATTTAGCCCATTATTTTCATACTTTTTGTTATACACCTTCCTCCGCATGATCATTTTCTCTTTGTAGATCCTTTGGGCTTGGAGTACCACAGCAAGTGGCTATAACCGGCAGCGTGGTTGTGGTTAGATGTCTCCTTGTAAATTCGAGGTCTTCTAGCCGTTTTGTACTACAATGTGTAGGTTGGCTCTTGTTGTGGACTTCGTGTATCGTTTTTTTCCCTGTCCATCTTCGTTTCCTCAGGCTACACCCGTATCCGGATGCGTGGGCATGTGTATCTACTTTGGTAGTTTCATATATGCATTCATTTCGGGCCTGATGAAGCCAACCAGCAGAAATACGTATCGCTCGGGTTACCTATCCTATTTTCTGCTCGAATACACATTCCTCCTTTTTGCGGATTTTGCCCATTATTTTTCTACTTTTTGTTATACTTCGACTTCGAAGTTGAGTCATTTATTTTAACAGTGAGTAGATCTGATCAAAAGAAATGTTTTTTTCCCTTACCATTTTTCTGGTAAAATTAAAGTAACAAAGTTATAGCCCTTTGGAAGTTTGAGTACCGCCCTGTCTCAATAATAATATTATGTGCTCGTGTTTGGCGACAACGTATATAATTCGCCTTATCGGTTCATCGCATCGGAAACAAAAAAGCGAAAGAATTTGGAACGATGTTTTTACAATTATTTCATTCAGTTGTATACAGTCAGTGTCAGTCGGTAGTGGATAGTGGTGTCTGTTGCGTGGCTCAAACGAAATAAAAAATGGCACATGTTTATGCGGATCGGTTTCCCAATCGAGTGCAACCAACCCCTCGTGCCTTTGTTAATGTAGTACAACGGGTTCGTGAATCATTTGACTTAAGACCTCACATATGGACGGCATGCCGGTGCTCCAAGACCTCACGATCAAATACAGGTCCGCACTGAAATACTTGTCGGGAGGATACTTTATAAAAGAAGGTAAATTTTTTTTTAATTTTTTTTTATTTTTACACACATATTTTGGTTTATCTTCCTTCTACAATCATTATTTGAAAATTAATGACTCAACTTCAAAGTCACCCTGTATATATATATATATCACATACATTGTCTGCCTGGTAGATTATTCCGGAGAAAAACTTATTTGTAGATTTAAGTTGAAATCCTTATGAAAACTCAAATCCATTGTGCCTCGAAATAACAGGGCTAATTGAATGTCGATATTTATGGGAGTGACTTTAGAGCACATTTCAAAAAAATCTCTATCAACATATGTCCTAAAGGTCTTGACTTTTGAGATACGGTAAAGCTGTTAAAAATAAATCATTCATTATTTGCATCTGTAATAACCACTTAGTGACATTTGTCTGCTAATCATTGGCCCGTCTATAACTTAAGAATCACCGAAATGTTCGCAAAAAGTTGCTACTATGCCAACTACGAAAAAGCTTCACAGTTTTTGAGAATCTATCCAGTGGCGGCAGAGGATAAATATAGGAGTTGGTTTTGCAGAAGTTGAGAAAGGGTATATGGAGATGTGTTGATCTTAGTTTTTTTATACGCTCCCAACCCTGGTAATTCTATGCACCTGTCAGCCATATATCACAAATCATCGATCACCTGCTACATTTGCCGTTAAAACTTCGAATAATGGAAACATGCTGAAGCGCAAAAAACATATACTCGACCATGCACGAAATAAACAATAACTAGCTGCAGCGATGCCAGACTGAGCGCTGCCGCGCACGTATAAAAAGGGACAGCGTTGCCAGATGGACAGTAGCTACCGGAAGGGCAGGGAAAGTATGTCCATCGACTGATTGTATGGGCGTATTTGACTGACTCAATCCTCCTGTTGTACATGTTCGTAACTGACTTTTTACTCAGTGGAGTTGAAGTGCACTGAACTTATTTTTTTACAAATTACGGCGCTGCGCTGGTAGTCCAGAGTCAACCGACTTGGCGTCATTGTCTTCATCGTTTCTGGTATCCTATGTTGAGCTGCAGATCTCAAAAAGAACCCCTAATTTTAAGTCTATTAAAGCGTCGAGAACGAAAGGAAAATATAATTATCAAAATCAAGTTGATTCAATTACGTAAAAACCCCGGCCGGCGAGTCGGAGGGTGAAGAGATGAGAGTATTTGTATGTACGGACCACTTTAATCTTCGACTCCCCAGGAAAAACTCCCGTGGGAGTTGCGACGGCGGGACGCAAGACTGTACTTTCAAAGTTTCTTTCCTCGCTGAAAGAAGCGGCGACAGATGCCTACAAATAAAACAGAAAAATGCTCAAATTGAGTATGCGCCGCGGATGTTATATTCGCGGTATCGAAAATTCTGGGTTTCTCCGTTGCCCGAGGATATAGGTCGTATAAAAGCTTCGGCATACCGATTGGCAGTCCTTTAGTATTTTTCACCATTTATTTTCCCCGCGCTGTAGACGAGGGGGGCATAAAAAACCATTTCACCCATTTCCGTTTCCCGTGTCTTTAACTTGTCTGTCTATTACAACATCCCAGGGCTGCCATTTTGAACTCTTGTGGAACAAGCAAATCAATCAATACAAACTTGCAAACAGTATACGAATGATAATTCTAAACAACACAATTTGTAACAAAATTTCCTCATAAAATTTTGCTGGTCCCTCGTAGAGGGAGTTGGTTCTGCCCGTTGGCAACCAGCGCGCCAGCTTGTGACTTCTACACGTACTAGCCGTATATGAATACTTGATTTACTATCAGGATACCTTGTTTTACTGGTTGCGGGCGCAGACGGGTCCAGCGCCATTTTGCTTTTGCTTTCCGTTGCGGTTTTAGTTGTGTGTGGGCGTTGCTTAGTTAATTTCCAGATTCTGGCATATTAGACTCCCAAACACCAATTTTGGAGTAGTACCCTTTTATTTTGTACCTTACGTTTAGTTGTGTTGGTTTGAGTGCTACTCCGTCCATTTTCTAATCGAATTTTAACCTCCAGCGGTAAGTTCTCGTTTTTCTACTATCGGACCACGTCCATTAATGCTTGTCCTGGAGAAGTTTGTTCAATATCTACTTCCTTTTAGTTGGAAAGGCATTACGGATAACCACCATTTACACTCCTTCAGCTTTGTTTTGTAGCTGCTGTAGCTGTTTCGCAGACAATTTTGTTGGAAGCCAATCCCTTCACAAAAAACCCTGATGTGAACAGGTAAAACATCATTTTAATTGGGTATTTTATGGATATTAATACAGGGTGTCCGCAAAGTTGGGGTTTTCCTTTACACGACCTGTAGATCTTGAAAACATAAGCAATTTTTCTTAGTACCCTACACACCAATGTCTTAAGGGAACCGAGATAAAGGGCTCTGCAACATTAAAAATATCTGAATACCGTCCTGTAGCCGCTACCCGCGACATCACCGACTGGTACAAGGTCACTGGCTCAACCCGACGACAGAACTGGGTCGGGGTCAGTGTATCAGGTCAGTATGCAACCTTGAACCGACGGTTACGGTCACGCGTGTAGAGGTAATCGCGTAGACGAGAATCCCTCAACAATCACTAGAGACGTGGCTAGAGAAGTGCAAGTATCAAAAACTAAAATGTGGCAAACGCTGCGTGAAAAGAGGCTGTATCCGTTTCACGTCCAACGTGTACAAGCCCTTCAATCTGACGATTTTCCAGCAAGAGTGCGGTTTTGTGAGTGGTTGTTGCATCAACATGACAATAATCTGGACTTTTTGAAGTGCATATTGGTGTCAGATGAATCTACGTTCACGCGTAATGAGGTGAATAACTTTCGCAACACTCATGTTTGGTCAGTACAAAATCCGCACGCTGTCCGTCGAGCACATTTTCAACAAACATTTTCGGTGAATGTTTGGGCTGGCATGGTGAACGGTATGCTCATTGGACCATTTATTCCCCCAAATCGATTGGACGGAATGCAATACCCAGACTTTTTACGCAACATTTTGCCTTCCTTGTAAGAAGATGTGCCATTAAGTGTAAGACAATCAATGTGGTTTCTGCACGATGGTGCACCGCCCCATTTTAGAAGCGAAGTGCGTGAGTTTTTGAATGAATAATTTCCGAATAGGTGGATCGGACGTAATGGACCCGTAGCGTGGCCTCCGCGATCTCCAAACTTAACACCATGTGATTTTTTTCTTTGGGGAGAAATGAAACGCTTAGTGTACAAAACTGAAGTGCATACGGTTGACGAACTTCGTCTCAGAAATGAATAAGCTGGTGCTTTCATTCGGGGAAGGGACTCCATTCTCAAAGCCTGCACCGATGCTTGGCTACGTCGTGCACGCACCTGTGTTTTTGAATCAAACGGCGATAACTTCGAACAATACCTATAAAGTACGTTTACCTAAAAACTGAAAACGCGGCAACGCCGTCATATTTGTTAGCTATGTTCGTGGTCTGCACCACCGCCGGCGTCTGCTCGGTAGCGCATCAGCTGATTTCATTTTCTGTTGGAGCGGTATGATTTCGGGCAGAGACGTACTTAGAACTTCTCGTCAACTGGAGAGTGAGTACTTTTTCCTTTATTTTTGTTACTTGGTCGCCTTCGTTTCACTACACATTACCTTTGTTATTTCAAGGGTAGTTGTTTCTGAAAAGGAAAACCCCAACTATATCGATTATTGTTGACTGAAATTCTTAGTGTTCTTGATTTTGTCTGGCATTTTTCGTATTCAAATATGGGGCAGTGCCTACATGTCACCTTCTTTTGAGGTGACTACATTGCATTGATCATGATTTTGATTTTTAAGCTGGCATAACCTATTTTAGAACAAGGGCTAACTTTCTGAGGATATATCACTTTAGTACATTTGTATCTTCCTTACCTTTGTTTTACTTTTCTTCAAGTTTTGATTGTTTCAAATGAGTAGATTTTATAGCAGTCTTTCTCTCTCTGGGGTTCTGTTATGCCGTAAGTTTTGGAAACGACGCAAGCAGACCCTACCTTGTGACATTTCTCCCATCACTGCTCACTACTAGACACTGGTTTATGACCTGAGCGTGGACATCTCAGCTGCGCATGGAGCTGTAACTGGCAGAAGACCATTATTCAGATAAGTTTAGGTTTAGGTGTAAAAATATTTGTGAAGCCTATATTTATAGAGCCTTCGTACGTGCACCGTGGTAAAGTTTTATCTTGCACTCCAGTGTTGGAGCTTATGTGTTGCTTGTTTTGATAATATATTGTGATTTTTTTTAAATATCTTGTTTTGTTTAGCTCTCTGCCCGCTAAGCTGGAAAAAAGAAGACCAGCGACGACTTCCTCTCTGACAAGAGACCTGGAGGTTATCACTACTTTAAGACGCCACAGTTTAATGTTTTCAAAACTCAGTACTGCAACTTGATTAACAGTAGGCTTATCGAAGTATATGTGCTATGCAAGGTCAGTGAGGGTACGTTGGATCTAAGCTTCAAGGCTTTCCAGTAATCTTCCTGCCCACTTGCAAAGATCTATATTGAGGATGGAAATAAATTAATTTATACAATCTTGCTTTACATTATACGATTGTGTTTGTATGTTAATGCCGCAAGGCGGGCAACAACAAATTGTATCTAGTCTCATTATTGGACACGAGACAAGATGCAAAATTCTGGGACATTCCCGGATTTTCCTGCCATCTGTAAAGCCTATTCGCATTTAGGCTTCTGCTTCGGTATATAAAAAAACTGGACGAAAGAATCTAAACCAAATCTATGCAAAGCATCGGCTGCTGTTTCTCTCCTCGCCCTCCTCGGATCTCACCGTTTCCAGCCGTGGCAGGTCGCGCGAAAGATTTCCCGTCGCGCCGTTTGTAAGCCAGCGAAGGCGAAAGGTTGCTCGCGCATCTAATTACGTCCCAAGGGAATCATTAATCACAAACTCCCTAATTACATTCGCTAAGTTTATACATGCACGATACGAACGGCGCCGGGCGGCAATGAGCGTCAAGCGGCAGCTGGTCTGAGGGCCTCCGGCTCAATGCCGGCTCTATCTGATAAAGCACCGCCTCTCTCGACAAAAACGCAGCGAAGGTTATCGCTTCTTCAATTACAAGGGTTAAAATACGGGGTCGTTGCTTATCTGGTTGGACGCCGAAAGTGTGAAGGAATTGCTACTTAATAAGTTCGTGATTTGTTATCTGCATCTTCATTTAGAGCTGAATGTCTTCGGGCTTATCAGGAGATAGAAAGCACTGTATTGTTACTAAACAGTATAATAATAATAAATGTCCTTATTAGCAACACAACAACAGGGCTAAGTTTAGCCAGTTGGCTACCCTTACACCCAACCCTATTGAGTGCTTATATATGTATATACAATTCAAAGTCACATACATGCAACCTAAAAATAAATACATCGATCTGGCTTTCAACTAGGTGCGCTAATAGTAAAGGGAAAAAATACAATCAATTCTAACAGCTGATTTTTAACCAGCTTCCTGAATGTTACTACACTTTTGCTTCTCCAGGCAGGATCGGGTGGGTTGTATAACCTCACAGCATTGAAAGTGAAACATTTTTGAAACAGTGCAAAGGCATTGTCAGATTATTATTATGCCTCAGATCTCTAAGATTAATGATTCTTCTAGTTGCCAATTTACTATGGTGGTAGATGAACTTTTTAGTACACAATATCTTATGCACAAATACCTTAAGACTATATTCAAATTGTTGATCCATTTTCAGCCATTTCAACTCCTTCATCTTAGAGGTGACATGACTATATTTTCGAAGACCATACACAAACCTACAGCAGTTCTTTTGCGTTCTTTGGATCCTACACCGAGTCATCGAGTCAAGACAAGGTTAAAGCGTAGATGTGGCTCGATATTATCAAACTTTCAACTAGCTTCTTACGCGTTTTAAAGTTCAAAATGAACCTATTAGCATACCGCGTTCTTAATTTGATGTAGGTGGACTTCGATAGATGCAACTCATGTTTGTCAAACCTTAAACTAGGGTCGAAGATGACACCAAGATTTTTTGCTTGTTCCACAATAGGAATGAGCTCGTTGTTGATGCTCAATGCAATTCTGTCCCTTACTCTATTATGCAAATGTTTAGTACTCTTATCCGGATTAATCTTCAGCATGTGTCTTTTACAAAAATCGGTGATGTTGGCAGGATCACAATTTATCTTATATGACACTTCATCCAGATGAGACAAGTTAAAATGAAAAGAAAGCTGCGTATCATCCGCGTAAGTTTTTATAGCACAATGCTCAATACATGAATGTAAATCAAAAGTATATATCAAATACAGTAAAGGACCTAATAC